TTGCAAGACGAAAAGGGGAGCGGATAATTCCGGCCTCGGGAGGGTGGTGGCGTTTATTTTTTTGGGGCACATCCTCCAACGTTGTGCCATATATGTGGTGCGTTCTGTGCAATGAGCGATCTGTGAGCGCGCCGTAATTGCGATCTACGGGGTGCAATCCAGCTTCGGCGACCAGGCGGCGACGGGGCGGCGACAGCGACAACATAGCCGCCAGACCGGCCACACGGCCCAGACGACGATGCGACGACGGGGCGGCGACGGCGACAGCATAGCCGCCAGACCGACCACATGGCCCAGTTCCTTAGAGCTGAAGTAAGAAGCCCCAAGTGCAAGCATTGGTTGGGAAACATTCCATTATGTGAATGACAGACAAAATATGATTATCCCCCTCCCTCTACTGGTGTTGTTGCTGCTGCTCCTCTCCCTAACCCACAAAACCTTCCGACAACACCCGAATTTTCAAAACAAATCATCCAGGCGAAGGACCCAACCATGTGCAAGCGTGAGTACCGTGCGGCAGGTGGGACGAAGAAGGGCGGAGGTCCTTGTGGAGCCACGAAACGTGAGGGGGTGGCCGACATGGGTAGGGGGACGCATGCGAATCTTGTCACAAGAGCCTCCGGTGGAGCTTCCTGTGGAGTCATGAGGTGCATGAGGGGTCTGCCGAAGTGGGCGGGGGACGCATGCGAAACTTGCCACAGGAGCCTTCGGTGGAGCTCCCTCTGAGGCCACGAGACGCGTGAGGGGTGTGCCGAAGTGGGCGGGGGACGCACGCGAGTCCTGCCACTGGGGCCTTCAATGAAGCTTGCGGGATGTGCCGAAATTGGCGGGGGGACGCATGCGGACCCTTCCACTGGTCCACTGGGGCCTTCGGTGGAGCTCCCTGTCGGGCCACGAAACGTGTGGAATGATGTGTCAGAATAGGAATGCGGAGGGCACAAGCAGAGATGAGAGGAGGGAGGGGAAGGAGGGAGGCGAGGAGTGACGCGGAGCGCTGCCTCTTCTCGGCGGCGAGCGAGGGAGGGAAACGAGAAGGACGAGGCCTTCTCAGACGGCGGCAGGACGGCTCAGAAGCTCTCTGGCCTTCTGAATGGTTTTCTGTGTCTTCGGGGAAGGCTCAGATAACTCTTCAGAAGGCCGGGAGACTTCCGAGCCTTCTGAGAAGGCCCGCCCCTCCTCTTTTCCCCCCTGGGCCCGCCGCCGATCCTCAAAGCGAGAACCCAACACCACAGGATGGCTGGTGGAGAAAACGTCGGACATAGAATCCTGACCCTGATCCCTCCTACAGTCGGGGCCCTGAAGAAGGAACCCTTTTTGTTGGAAAGGGGCTCCGTGTTCCTTAGTTGCTTTACAGTTCTCCTCGGGTTTTCCTATGTTTTCCTTAGGTGTTCCATGGAAAATCGGAGTTTCATATATAAGGGAAAAAGGAGCCTCGTTCCTTATTTATCGTTCCTTAGGTCAACGCCCCGACTGTACTCCTCACCCTTCTACTCCCCCCTCTTCGGAGAACACCTCGGGAGCATTCCAGAATTTGCGAGAAGCGTCCAGAAACCTCAAAGACCCTGCAATGATCACCGAAAACCTCCAAAGACCTTCGACATCGGCGGCGCGGTCGCGGCAGCTGGCTCCAGCCAAGGTGACATCAGCACAGGGGCCTTACTGTCGGGAAATTCGACTTAGTGTGTCACGCTGCCCGTGCTTGCCCACCACGCTGCGGCGCGACACGCGAACCACGTCCCTGTTTTTAGGCGTCAGCTTCCCAAGGGCCCTCCGCTTCACGTCCTGCGAAGCGGAACGACACGCTATCTCGCATGGTATAGCGTGCCGCCGGTGCCGCTGGCGCGACACGCTAAGCAAGAGTTCCTCACAGCAAACAGCGTCGCACCGTGAGCACATACATGTGATGGTAACCCTTCGACGTGTCTGTTCCACTGCACGAGTACGAGACTCCAGCGGCAATGATAATCAAGCAGGACAGCTGACAGGACAATTACCAATCTAGTTTAGGAACGCGCACAAGACTGAAATCCCCAGGGATGGGCGGGCGCAGCCGACCGCTGGGTAGCACTGTACGGGCGACGCAGGAAACCACACGCACACATACACACACACACACACAAACATATATATATATATATATATATATATATATACACACATATAACCAACGAACCGTTCGGTCGTCGCGGGGTGGGCGACTTGCCACGCAGTCAGGCTCGCCGCGCGGGGGACCGCGCGCGCGACCAGTAGTCAGAAGAGAGAGGCAAGAGAAAGTCGAGACGGCCGACCCCTCACGGGGCAGCGGCCAGGCGCGGCGCCAACGCGCCCCGGGCAGCAACGCAGCGGGCAGGGGCCGGGCGGCGGGGCGCCGCGCCAGAGGTGGGCGGGCAGGGCGCGGCCCGCAGCAGCGGAGCGGCCAGAGGGGGGCCACCGCGAGGGGCGGCGAGGGTGCGGAGCTGGAGCGGCCTGGAGCGGCGGAGGTGGGGCGGCGGCGCCCGGCCCTGGCCGGGCGGAGCGGGCCGAGGGGCCAGGGGAGGGGCGGCAGGGCGGCCAGCCTGCGGGAACGCAGGGAGGGCGGCACACACACACACACACACAGCCACTCGCGCGCGAGTCTTAACGTCGGCGGCGCGGTGTGCATCAGCCACGCGGTAACTCCTGGAGCCCCAGCCCCCACACGCACACACACACACACACACACACACATGCACACGCACACTCGCACACGTGCATGCGCACGCACACGCACGCACGCACGAGCGCATACACGAACACACATGCTCGCACACACGCATGCGCGCACGCACACACGCACGCACGCACGCACGCGCGCACACATGCACACACACGCGCTAGCACGCACGGACGCACCGACACGTTTCCTCTGACGCGCCAGTGAGTCCAACGAACGTAGCACGATGGGAGGACACCCTCAAATCGAATGAGCTTTCTTTCGGAGTGACGTGGCAACATGAACGCTTGAAAACCATGCGTAGGCGGCATCAAAGCAAAGAAAGCGGGTGGTGCATGAAAACGGAATGTGCGAGTGGAAGCGAACGCCATCAGTTGGCCCGATCGAGGAGGGAGGAAAAGGAGGAGCGGGTCGCCACCGCTGAATTGCGACAGGCAGTCGAGCGGCCGAGGCGCGTGCCAAACGAGCAGCAGGAAAGTCAAAGGCAGGCCAAGCCTTTGGCGCGTATTAGAAAAGGCCGAAGCCGACCAGGGTAGGGGCGGCCGAGGAGGCGACAGGGCAGGCGACTGAGGGTGGACAAGGAGACGGAGGGGTGGCTGGGAGGCCCAGCGTCACCAGCCGCGCTCCGCTGCGACCCGCTATACACATTCGGGCCCCCACGCGTCAGCGTCCCGAGCCTTCCCCAGCCTCTCGCCGGGCGGAGCGGAGCGACACGCTGTCTGCTCGCAGGGCACAGCGTGTCGCCGCCGCCGCCACGCCGAGCGGAGGAGCTGGACCGCAGCCGCCCCGCAGAGCGCAAGGAAGGGAGGCAGCGGGCGAGCCGAGGCCACCGGCGGGGCCAGCCGCCCCAGGCGCAGCGGCACAATTGCGTGGCGGTGGACGGACTTGGCATCGCTCGGACGTGTGCATTTTTCCTTCGGCGAGGGTCATCGAGTTGCATCCTTGATCATTTGGCGAAAAAGCCACGCACGAAACCGAAAAAAAGCACAGGGGATGGACGTCCGAGCGATGGCGAGCGGAGCGCACTCACACACGCACGCGCACGGGCACGGGCGCACGCGAAGCCCAGCTTCTCCGCCCACAGGTGAGCGAAGGCCCTTTTTGGACTTTCTTGGATGCCGTCCGCGAAGGAAGATCACAATCATGCTGATGCTGCTGACTTCCAGGTGCTCACATGCTACTCACCGTGTAGGTCCCAAACACTCCCGCTCTCTTCGTCTATGAACGTACCCACCTTGGGGGGGGGGTCATCCTCTTTTCACCCAAGCTCCTGGGTGAACCCCGACAGGCTGAAACAAGCGGGTCGGGCGGGCGGACCTTGACTGGCGGAGCGGGAGGGCGGGCCCTGACGGGCTGACCAGCCTTACGGGTAATTAAAAAGCGGGCGGGCGGGCTTCCAAGCAAACGAATGGCACACAATGGGCGCTTACCTTAGAGGGCGGGTCGGGCGGGCGGGCCCTCACGGGTACGGGCGGGCGGACTTCCGGGCAAACGGACAGGCAGGTCTGTCGGGCGGACCTTCATGGCCGGGTCCCGCGGCGGACCTTCACGGGTGGATCCCACGAGTGGGCCTTAGCGGGCGGGCGGGCAGGACATGATTGATGCGCGAGTTTGAGCAGAGCGTGGGGAATCCCCAGGCGAGAGCGCAAGTACCAGATGAAATGTGGGGACATCCTTGACGGACTCTTCGTGATTGCTGATTGGCGAGAGCGCGGTCTTCGCATTGATTGTGAGGAAGTCCCAGGGTAGAGTTCGATTCCAGAGCGGCGAACGCGCGATTCTTCAGACCATTCGGAAGGAGTCTTGGGCGAGAGCGCGTTTCTTTTGCAGTCGCCAGGATGCCAGGAAATCAACTGCGAGAGCCCGATTCCTGGGTAGGTTATGATGAGGTCTCAGGCGGGAGGCCGTGTTGTTGTAGCCAGGGGCCCTCCGTGACAGGTTCCGCCGCAGAACTGCCCTTGAAGAACAAGGGAGAGCCGCGGGCGCCTTCTTCTAAGTACAGATCGCTATGCGCACTCGATAGAGGAAGGAATCAGGAATACTTGTTCTTCAGAGGGGAGAGCTCAGCCATAACATGAATTAGCTCCTCGAGCAAGACCTCTGATCGTCTCGTCCCGTCCTGTCACCGTCGTATGTTCCTCCCCCTTCCTCGTCCTTCCGCCCCATCACGAGTCCATCCCGTCCCATTCCCCTCACAAGCTACATTCTCCCTTCCTTCGTCCTTGCCGCTCCTGCGACGTGGGCTATCCTCCGCCCCCCTTCTCCTGCTCTTCCTGCTTACCCCCTCCCTCCTCTTCCCCCTGGGCAGCTGGACAAGCTGCTGGAAGAGGCGAAGACTAGCATCGAAAAGTCGAAGGAGGCCCCTGCGGTCAGCCGGAGGAATAGGAAGATGAGGAGGAGGTGGGACGAGAGAGAAGGCGGAACAGGAGGGTGAAGAAGGAAGGAGCAGTGAAGAGGGAGGAGGAGGAGGAGGAGGAGGAGGAGGAGGAGGAGACAGGCGAGGGGTTGGGGAGAGGGATTTTCCAGGATTTCCGCCATCACGTAGTGATAAAAGGCTGAGCTCAGCACTTGGGAAACAGGTCGCGATCGATTCGATTCAAATACTCGCGCCTGGCCTTGGTGATTAAGTGGGGGCGACAAGGATTACCTAAGCCCCTGAGCTGGGCCTGACCGAAAAATCCGCACGACCCACAAAACCATAATCCAAGGTCTTTGTGATACCGAAGGGCGTGTGAGGGATGCGTCCAGCCACCAGCCAAGTGTAAACTCCGTCCTAGGGGGGCTCGGGATAACTTAGCATTCACAGGCAGGGGATGGTTGCAAGCGCTTTTCAACCATTCGGACTCCTTATCCTTCGAACACGAACTGAAACACACCGAGCACGCTCTGCCATTTTCGGTCAGGGTATGAGCTGAAGCGAAACGAGCAAGGGCGAGAGGAGGAGGAGGCCGAGGAGCAGGGGGACCAGGCGGGGCCAGGGGAACCCCTTCCTTGGCCTTGATGGCCTGGGAAGCCTGGATAGAATCTAGCCCTACTCTAAGAAGACGCCTCCTGACTAGCCTCGCCTTGCGTTCGACTCGGTGCACTCCGAATCTGTCGGCCTCTGGGACCCTGGCCATCGTAGCGGCCGACCCTGCAAGCTCATCAACACAAGCGTTGCCGATTACAAGCCAACTGTCCCACCCACGCTGGAGGACCTCTCTGGCGGACAAGCGGGATGGTACCTGCACAACAACAATATCACTAGCACTCCTATTCTGAGCTGTGAGGGTGAGACCGATGCTACGCCACAAATCTGCCTGAGGGCCTTCGGGACTGTCAATCGCAGACGCGTACCACCCGCGAGCAACCTCGGCACAATCAGTGATGTACACTATGGGTCCAGTCGTGAAACGAACGGTCCATTCGAAAGCCTGGAGTTCTCCCCTGGGGACCGTTTGGGCCGGCCCCACAAGAGGCCCTAACAAGTACGGACCGAGCTCACAAGGAACAAAGCTATTGAAAGTGGCTACCGCACACCCTACTCTACGCAGCCTATTATCATGGGTATCTTTTCCCCCAGAGGCGTACCCGAAAATGTAAATCGGCAGGTCCCGAGTCCCATGGCCGAGACACCCAGGACCGAGACGCCCCTCGGGAAGATTTCCCCCGAAAAAAACTGTTTCCTGAGCAGGAGCGGGAACGCGGGTCCACTCACTGGGAATCACCCCCCTCATCCAAAAGCACGGGCACGCTTCATGTTCTGCCTGAGCCTCCACGACCAAACAATCGGATTGAACATATGCTGCTGACCCCTGGTTTTTACTGCACAACCAATTACGATGCAGAGGCGTGTCGACCGCCTCCTCGCACCGCTCGCACTGGTCGGAATTGCTGAGGTTGGCCGCACACTTACGCTCCTGAGTCCAGTAGCCGCCCGTGGCGATGGTAACCATCAGCTCCGACAACTGACGCCCCTTCTTGGCATGGAGGAGCATCGCTATGTAAGCACGATAACTCTGCCAATCAGCGCCCTGCTCTAGGCCGCCGCCGCAAAACAAGCCAGCTGCCTCCTCCCAGAGTTGCAAGTACAATGTGTCCTCGAACTCCTGCAAAAGTGGCCGAGCCTGGTCCAGGCCAACAAAAGCACCTGTGGAAAACTCCCAGGTATGCTCCATATTGCTCCCGTCACTCGGCACCTGCTACTCCGTAGCAGACTTCAAGTTCCATCCAGCTTGTAACAAATACAACACTGCTGAAGACATGGGCCCACGAACGTGGCGACTCCGTTGACCAGCAGGAACAGAGCGTAAACTATCCACTGTACGTGACCACGCCAAACGAATAGACGGACGAAGGCGAGGCTCGCGCAGCCAACAATCCAACCACTGCGTGATGCACAACCTCGGCAGCACCACTCCTGGATCGGCTCCAGGCAGGCGTAGGGCTAACAAAGAAGTCAAACAGCGCCCCCGCTTGTGTGACCCAGCTGCTGCTCCTAGCCGTCGCCTGTGACTAAGCATAACCGACCCAAAGCAGCCCAAGACCTGGTGGCCGTATGAGGCCGAGGCCTGAGGGCCCGTCCTCTGGATCTTGCTCGTGGTCGTCCACCGTCTCGCAGCTGCTGCAAAACGTCGGAGCCGTTGATGTGAGGCCCCCGACTTCTTCACGCGCTTGCGCGCGGCGTCCCTGCCATGGCGACGACCTCCAGCGAGATCGATCCCAAGGTAGGCTGCCTGCAGCACAGGGGTAACCTCGATGCCGTGACGCCGCAGCCGCCGCGCTACCTGCACCGCGTCCTGGTGGATGGAGCACACCACCACGCTCTTAGCCGCGATGCCCAGCTTGAGCTTCCGAAACTCCTTCACCGTGGTAGTGACCGCCTTCACCAGAGTGCCTCGAAATGTTCTCGACTGCCCGACACGCGCTCCAGCAAGTCGTCGATCCAGATCCTCTGGGACATCGACGGGTGAGAGATCGCCAACTTCTCGCATACCACTGCCGTGATACATTTCGCAAACCGAGTACCACTGCGCGATCCTTGAATGACCGACTTCGTGGCCTGAAATGGTAACGAGTACGAGTCCAGGTGTGACAATAAGCGAGGTGCCATGAACAACTGCACCTCCAAAAACAGCACGACTGGGGGATACCCTTTTCTGATCGCGCATTCCGCAAGAATGGGCCATTCAATGCCGTCGTAGAAGGCCTCCACGCCCAGCAGGGCCTGCCCATGGGGCAGGTGAAGGGAGGTCTGCACCTCGTCCCCCAGCGCCCGCACGAACGCCTCCCTCAAGGCGCTGTTCCCAGCGAGGGCAGCGTCCCAATAATCATATTGCTGGTCGGCCCAGCCTCGCACAAGCGGCCCCCGTGCGAGCGACCATACTCTGCACAGCATGCCGAGCAGCCCGATGCACCGATCTCCGCCCGACTTCTTGCCGAGCAGACGCCCCAGCACGCACAGCACCTGCCACGGCCAGCTAAGGCCCTGCTCGATCATCGTGAACAGCTCCACAAGGTCGCCTATGGCCTGATCGGGCAGACGGCTGAAGTCCAAGGGCGACAGCCTGTCCACCCCTTGCCCCGCGCGGGGCTTCATCTTAGCCAGAGCTCCCCTGACCTCTTCGATGGAGAGGGGTACCAGCTGCTCTACTTCAGCGTGTTCACGAATCAAGTCACACGCCCGCATTATGTCATCGTGATCTGACACTTTGGAGGTCCACAACTGATGCCACCGAGAGATTCTGCCGTCTACAATCTCCAGCGGGTGCACCAGCTTCTTATCCCCGATGTGGTACTCGTCCAACTCGGGAGCCAGATCTTTAATCGACTTGCGCACTGCACCTAAACTATCCACCGAGCCAATCCAACTCTGGAAGTCGCGAAGTGACGCCGAGGCTGCACGGTTCTGTGCCCTCCTCGCCGATTTGAAGGCCACCTCTTCCAGCCGAACTAGCTCGTCCAAGGTCTGAACCTGCAAACTCCGAAGCGCTCCCAGATATTGAGACCAGCTAAGCCCGAGCGTGCCTGCGAAACAAGCTCCTGCTCCATCCAGTGGCAGATCTGCTAAACCCAAAGCTGCTTGTGAAAGATGATCCATTTGCAAGTTGCCATTGTTACGCCGCCGATGCCGGCGCGCCTGCTTGAGAATCGTATGCCCTCTGCTCCACCAGGCTGCCACTCCATCGCGTAGAGGTTGAGACCTGACGCGCTCGGGCTCCCTGACTGGGCCGACGACCAACTGGACGCCGTTGGCCCTCGATTGCACTGGTGCCGTCCCGCCGTGATGGGCCGCGATCGCGCCCTCGACCGTGGACACCCATCTGGCGAAACAGCTGCTGATGGGCAGGATGTGGCGCTGCCCAGCCGAGAAACCGAGGGAACGTCTGATGGGGTTCCAGACGTCCTCAAGGGAGTGTGAAAGCCAAGAGGCTTGCGCCGAAACGGCTGCCCAGGTGGAAGGGGGGATGGCGAAAGAGGGAAGGGCGGGCGCAACAGCATCAGCAGACGAGGGCGGACCAAGCTGATCGCCAGCCGCGCTGACGCCCGAGCCCCCAGGACGCTCGACAGTGGGGACCGCGGAAACATCCTTCGGAACTTCGCCAATTAAGGAAGAACTTTCTTGCTGCTCGAACTCGCCTGATTCAACGGACGCTCCTAGATCACCTACACTCTGGTTGCAAGCTGGCTGAAAGCACGATTCTGACGCCCACGGGTCCTCCTCCTCATCCTCGAAGGCCCCGAACTCGAAAGGATCCCCGAAATCGTCCGAGCCACTTTTGGGCTCAGCCACGCCCGGAGGATTCTGACCCTCGGGGGGATCGGGACCGTCCTGAGTGGGTTCGCCAGAGGGGCCAGCTTTTGAAACAAAAACATTCGAGAAAAGCTCGTCGCAGTCGGCTCGAATCCTGTCTTGGGCAAGCTGAGACCAAACCTGCTGCTCCGCACGCGCCTTGCTCGACTTCGACCCTGCCACGGGACTGACGCTCGGGCGCGGGACCTGCGGCAGGCGCGGGGCGGTGACGAGAGAACGTTGCAGTAATTGCTCACCAGATCCGTGAAGGGTGAGCTCCAGGCCTACATGAGGCCCCCTCGGCACGTCAGACCTAGCTTCAAGAGACTTGATATAAGGCAAAGCGCTCTCAGACGACATCACAAAATCGATATGCGTACTACCTGCACTCCCGACGCAAGTGTAGTCAACTTTCGACTGCCTGCTGTGACCTCCTACGCGCCTAACGAAGTTGGACTTGCGAAAGGTGTCAACTCCTATGTTGAAATCTCCAATCACTATCCATGGCAAATGTAGCATCTGGAGAAGAGTTCCCAATTTTCCGAACCGCTGCGTGTTGGCACCCCCAAATCCAAGCGAGGGGTGCGCGTAAAAAAGGATCGAGACTAAAGAGTAGCCTTGGCAGTGCACAACTGACGGCATAAAGCCGTCAAAAGCGTCAGCTCCGTCCGCGCACAGCGACGCCACTTCGGACGCCTTGGCAAACAGGCGGTGCACATTGCGGTGGCCTGGCGCCCAGAGTGCCTCACCCCCTTCGTTGGCTTTCTGGACTGTGGCCGCGCTGGTGCCCTTCCCCGTGCTTCTGGCCATGTTGTCCAGGAACTTCCACTTGCATTGCCGAGACTTCTTCGCCCACTGCGTACGAGTATGGCACCCAGAGTGAGTCTCGACGGCCCCGATGAGGTCGCACCTGGACATGGTGGCCTCTGAGCTGAGGAAAGGCCAAGACTTCATCCCGAGGCACGTGATGTTGCCGATGAACATCCTGACCACGGGAGCCCCCTGCGACTCCAAGGATGGCAAAGGTGCTCCGCCTGCCGCCGCTGAACTCGACGAAGCACCTGACGACTCCGAGGGAAACGAAGAGCAAGGAGTAGCCGCCGTTAAAACTGCCTCCTGCTCAGGCGACTCCGAAGATGATGAAGGCTGCGCCGCCGCAAAAACGCCGCCTCCACGAACTGCTCGTCACTGACCAACTTTGGCTGCGGCCTCCGCCGCCTCCTGGCCCGCCGCCGAGGCGGCCCTGATCTTGGCCATCTCAGCCTCGATCTCGGCCTCGGACGGGCTGCCAGGCGTCGCCGCGGCCGCCGTGGCACCTGGGCCCTCGCCCGCGCCCGCCGCCGCCGCGCCCGCTGCAGCGGCCACTCCGCCAGCCGCGGGGGCGGCTGGAGCGGCCGCTCCGCCACCTGGAGGAGCACAGCTCCCAGGTGGCCCTGCGGGCACAGCCTCGGGCTCGTCGGCGGCCCCACAGCGCCTCTTCTTCTTGATGCGCTCCGCGACCTGCTTCTTCAAGGACTCGACGTTGTCACGCCACTTGGTGATCTCCTCGGCCTTGCTGAGCACCGACTGCTGCGCCGCCTTCAGCTCCGCTTCAACTTTACGAAGCTCCTCTCTCTCCTCTCCACTGCATTCCAGATCATCCAGCTGCTGGAAGAACTCGGTGTCCCAAGTGAGATTGAACATAGGCTCGGCCGCCTTGGCGGGCGCTGCCGTCTCGACGACCGCGCCTGTCTCCTTCGCCAAGGCCTGCGCGGCGCCTCGGCGGTTGATCTCCGCCAGGGCGAGCGCGCGCGCTGCCTCCGATTCCTTCTCCCTGGCAGCGCCCAGGTTCAGCTCCAGCCGCTTCACCTGCTGCGCCGCCTGCTGGTACTTCGCGCTGGCGTCGCGCCACGCCCCAGCCGCGCGGCGCACGGCCTCCTCGGCCGCCAAAGGCTTGCCTGCCGCCGCCGCCTGCTGGGACTGCTTCAGCTGCTCCTCGAGGATCTGCCGCACCTTGGGATCCTTGACCACCGCCAGGGCCCCCGACAGCGCGACCACCGTCTGCTGCATGGAGGCCTCGGCGCCGACGCTCCCCTTGGGCGGCGGCTTGACCTCCAGCTCGAGCTGAGTGCCCTTGCCGTTGCCCTTGTCCTTGCCCTTGCTCTTCTCTCCCTTCGGGACGTAGAGCTTCACGGGCCTGTTGCAGACGCGGCACTTGCAGCCATTCGCCAAAAGCTTGGCGTTGAACTCGTGAGCGCCGCACCCCGCACACGTGCTCCAAGGGTTCGCCATGGCCCTGGGATCGTGTGCTGTGACCCCACTTTAGTCGACGGGATCCGCTACGCTCGGGCGCGCGGCCGACCCGCCGTCCCCCAAGCACCACGTGGAGGCGTGGGGCTGGCCGAGTGCAAATCCAAAATGGTGCGCTCGGGCCAGAGTTGCTTGAGGGGTTGGGGAGAGGGTCGGGAGGAGGGGGAAGGGAGGGACGTGGGGACGGAGGGGCAGAGGAGCGCAGTGGGAAGAAAGGTGAGGAGGAGCAGGAGGAGGAGGACGAGCAAGAGGAGGAGGAAGGCGGAGGACGAGCAAGAGGAGGAGGAGGAGGAGGAGGAGGAGGAGGAGGAAGAGGAGATAGGGGAATGTTGGAGCAAAGGGAGGGGAAGGGGGGCAGAAGGAAGGGGGGGGGGAAGAGGAAGGTTGGGGGGTAGAGTAGGAGATGGGAGGAGAAGGAGGGAGGGGGAGGAGGGGGAGGCAGGGAGGGAAGCGGAGGGGGGGAGGGAGGAAGGGAGGGAGAGAGGAAGTCTGGATGGGCGAGCAGGGGGAGCGCGGCTGAGGACAGCTGTCCCCGCCGCGCGGGCGCGGGGTCAACGTCGTGCGGCCACAGCTGGGTCCGCTTCGACAGACGGGTCAGGATGGATCTCGGGAAGGGTCCAGGGACCGATTCTGACCAGATTCTGGCCGGGCGAAGGAGGCAGCGTTGCCTTCGGGGCTCAAGGGACGGGGGTCAATGCACACGGGGGCCAGCCGGGGCGCCGGATCTTACAGGATCCTGCAGAACCAGGGGCGCTTTGACCTGGGCCTGGGTGCAGGATCCTGCAGGGTCTTACGTGATCCTGCAAGGCCTGACTGACCCAGGTTTGCATTGACCCGGGTCAGTACGTCCCCGATGTCTCAAGTGGCCTCCTCCGAAGAGCGGTTTGGGCCAGTTCGGTCCAGGGGTGCGGCACCAGGTGACCACTGCTCGCCTTAGCCCGAAGCCCGACCTCAGGTGGCTTAGCCCTTTGATGGGTCGGGGGAGAGGGAGGAGGAGGCACAGGGAGCCACGGCCTCGGCGCTCGAGGAAGCGCAGACGTGAAGTCGGGTGCGGATGCCGCTCCCAGAGACCCCGAGGCCCCAGGAGGCTCCACAGCGCCCCTGTCTGCGCGTTCCGGGCGTACACCCCGCTGAGCGAGGTGAATCCACAAGCGGGCCCCCCAGGGAGGAGTCTGAGAGGCCCCAAGAGGTTCCCGGGAACGGCCCGAGACGCCTTACGAGGCGTCCCTCCTCGTTTCCTCCAGTGCTCGTTGTGCCCCTTCCTCCTCGCTCCTACTTCTCGTATCCTCCATCATCTCGCGTCCGGGTTCTCTCGCTTCTTCTCATTCCCATCTGTCCTGCACCTCTTCAGAGGGCAGACGGGCAACACGGGAACCACCATGGGGCGTCTTGTTTGCATTTCCTCCTTGACCCTTCTCTTTCTCTCGAGTCGTGCCCGACAGGGCCTCAAGAGAGCCTCAAGATGGCCTCATCCCTCCTGATTATCCCTTGCTCGATGTTCTCGCCTTCTGGTTGTCTCTTTCCTCTTCCTCCTCCTCCTCCTCCTCCTCCCGCTCCTCTTCCTCTTTTTCCTCTCAGTATTGCTTGACTGCTTGACCTCTTCAGAGTGCCCCGACACGGCGTCAAACGGACAACACGGGAACCAACGTAGCGCGCCTTGCTTGCATCTTCTTCCTTGCCTTTCTCGTTCTCGCGAATCATGCCAGCCTGTGCTCCAAGATCGGGGGTCGTGGCAATGTATGGTTATGTCCCAGTCGCGCATGCAGCCCGCACGAGTGTGCAACGGCGAGCACGTGTCAAACGCCTGTCCGTCCTGGCGCCAGATCGTCACGGGCCTCCTGGAGGACGTGGACGAGGACATCAAGGCATGGATGACGCAAAAGGCGGGCGAGGTAAAGGGCAGGATAAATATTCGCACGGCTGGCGCCGCACATCCCGCCCGAGGCAGAAATGCGGCCACCCAGGGTTCGGATTTCACATTGTTCTGGACTTCGTTCTTGATAGCCAGGATCGAGTTGCAAAGGGAGTCAGCCTGCGTCAGCACATCCTAGGCTCCACTAGCTCAGCTTAACGCTTCATTGCCAATCGGGATGCGTAGCTTATTTCAGTTCAGCTCAATGTACTAAATATCGGTGTTCCCTTGCCTCTCGTGCTCATTATCTTCCTCATCGTCATCCTCATCATGCCTCTCCTTCCCAGCCACCTCTTCCGCCGTGCCCTTATGTCCTTATCGTCATGCCCCCGCTTTCTCCTTCTCCCCCTCTCAGTAGCTTCACCAATGCCATCATCAACAGCGACATCATCCGCATCACCATCAGCATCACCATCACCAAGCACCACCACCATCATCATCGTCAGCAGCATCATCATCTACATCAGCATCATCAGCATCATAATCATAAGCAGCATCAGTTTCGTCGACATCGTCATCATCATCAGCATCATCAGCAGCATCATCAGCAGCAGTAGTAGCGTCCCCACCACCATCAACACCAGCATTAGCATCAGCATCATCAACATCACCATCAGCATCATCAGCAGTATCATCATCAGCAGCAGCATCAGCATCAGTATCAGCATCATCATCATCATCATCATCATCATCAGCAGCAGCAGCATCACCATCATCATCACCAGCGTCATCACCATCATCATCACCAGCGTCATAAACGATCTCATCATAGCCTCTGTGTCATGAGCAGCAGCAGCAGCAGCATCACCGCCTTGCCATGATGTCTCTCCTCCTCCTCCTCCTCCTCCTCCTCCTCCTCATCCTCATCCTCATCCTCATCCTCATCCTCTTCCTACTCCTCCTCATCCTCCTCATCCTCCTCCTTCTCCTCCTCCTCCTCCTTCTCCTCCTCCTCCTCCTCCTCCTCCTCCTCCTCCTCCTCCCCGTCCTCCGCATCCGCACCCGCATCCTCATCCGCATCCACCTCCTTCTCCTCTACCTCCTGTCCGTCCTCCTCCTTCTTCCCCTCCTCCTCATCCTGTCCGTCTTCCTCCTCCCCCTCCGCCTTCTCCTCCTTCTCCTCCTCCTCTTCCTCCTCCTCCTCATCCTCCTCCTGCTCCCCCTCATCATCGTCCTCGTCCTCCGATCCCCTCGAGTCTTGCTCCTCCTCCTCCTCCTGCTCCTGCTCGAGCTGCGTTTGTTATTCTTTTCCATCCGCTCTTCTATCTCTTGTGCCTGTTTCGGCGCGCTCGGACTCGAGTTGGCGTGCCTCCTGCTCCTGCTCCTGCTCCTGCTCCTGCTTCTCCTCCTCCTCCTCCTCCTCCTCCTCCTCCTCCTCCTCCTCCTCCTCCTCTTTCTCCTCTTCCTCCTCGTCCTCCTCCGACCTATTCCTTCGCCGCCCTCATCCTCGTCGACACGCCGCCGCCTTCGACGTGCGGACATCGGCGGGTGCTTCGACGGCGACCCGAGCGAAATCGCGCCAGGGATTACATCGCCGTTCTTGACGCTTCGCTCAGGGGTTACAACAGTTGGGGATGGGCTCAATGGGGGGACTCATCGGTCCCCGATCGCCCACGAATCGCCAATTAGGGCCCCGATAGCCCAACCCCGCGAATGTGACTGGAGGAGTTGCGAGCGTGGAGGGCGGCGCGGGCGCGGCGACCGACCGCGGAGGCCAGGCTGGGGGCGAGAGCGAGGAGCGCAGCGCTGCCAGCCTTCGTGGGGTCGACGTCCCCAGCGACGAGGACGCTGCTGGCGCTGGTGGGGAGGGCGACGAGGGCGACGCTGGCGAGTGAGTGAGCGGCGGGCGTGCTGAAGAGGGCGACTACTGCGCTGCCGTCGCGGATACTGATATGGTCGATCTGGACCGGCAGTAGAAGAAGGTGTTGTCCAGCCTCCAGAAGGCGGAGCTGCTCGCGGCCGAGAAGCAGTGCTTATCGCCGATCTATCAGCGATGTATCGCCAGTTCGGGCTCGACGCTTCCTCCTCTGACCCACCCCCCCAATGTTCCCCCTCCCCTTATCAGCGTACCCCCACCAGCCCACCCAGAACCGGTGTTCAGGCGAGTTGTCGGTAGAAGGGAAGTAGATGATGAACAGCTGGTGGAACAAAGAGGCCGACAACAGCGAACTTAGAGACCTCTTGGAGACTCTTGGAGCCATCCTGGAGCTGTCTTCGGGGCGGACCCATTGGCGAGCCGGAAAAATTGCGCCGGAGATTTGTCCCCGCAGCGTGCAGCGTCGAGGCGCGCGGCGTCGGCGCGGCGGCAGACCCGGCGCGGGCGTTCAAGATTGAGCTCCGCCCAGTGGCCTGGAACCGTCCGACATCGGACGAACTGCGCTATCGGAAAGCCGCCATCTCGCTCAAGCTGTAGCGATCCGCGCGGCGGTGTCTGAGAACAACGCGCACCTCCTCACGTTGCGGCCCTGCCACAGCGGGGGGCAGCCAGTCTCCTCTGATCCCCGCTGGCTGCCCCGGGTCTCGGGAGCCGTGTGAGCGACGCAAAAAAAAGACGGAGTCGTTTGCGCCGGCATTCGCGCGTAAGCTGCCCGCGCAAGGTCTTGCGCAAGCGCCCTCGTCCCCCCACTGGGGCGTGCCGCGCCGGCGGCCCGCGTAAGCCGCCGCAGAAGGTCGCTACGTCATCTCGCGCAAGACCCGTTTTCGATCGTCGCTCATGTGGGGCCGGCCGCCCCCTCCGCTCCGCCTGCCGACCCATGGCTCAGAGCGTGAATTACCTAATTACCCCGCGTTCGCTTCCAGGCAAAACCAAGTCATGTCACGCGCCTCTTCGTCAAGCGGCCTGACAAGTACAGGCCGTAGTTTGGCATCGTTTGGTCAAAAGCGAGGTAGGTTTGTTTTCCCCCTAATGGCCCCTGGTCTGGGGGCTGCGTCGTGGCGGGCCCCGGGTGCCGCTGGCGCTGACCCGGGCCGGCACGTCCCCGGCTGCGCCGGGCGCCCGTGGCCCAGGCCCCCTCGGGCCGTCAAGAAGGGGCTCGGGGCGAAGGACCAGCCTTTGGGGGGGCGGGCAGCCCGAAAGAATCGAGCTGTCCGACGTCCTGGGTCTCTCCGTCACTGTTTCGCGCGCGCTCCCCCTCGCGCAGACCTCCGAGCGTCGCGGAAAAGAAGCGCGACCAGCGAAGTTTGCCCCCCTCACGGTTCGGTTGGGCTCGAGAGGTCAAACTCAGAGGTGGTGAGGAGGTTTCGGGTTACAATCGCTCCACGGCGCCGTGGTTGTTTTTTCAGTTTCGGATGCATATTGGTCGTGTTGCGCCCGGCATATGCATTCATTTTCACTGTCCGGTCAAGCCTCGGGTTCGATGATCCTCAGGACGTGTGTTAGCCCAGTGTGTGAGTGTCCATCCCGTTCAGCCATGCCCATAGCACGCAGCCCGTGTCAGCCCTCATAAGACGCATGCGTCATATTGAAGGGCTGCCGTGGACAAGTACACGTTGGCGCTAAGGGGAGCGCTGCCGCCGCGGATGCCTGGCACGCCGCGCGGCAGGTGGGAGCTCCCCTCGGACAGTGGGCCCCCCCCTCGCCACGGCCGAGTTCGGACTGCTCGACCAAGGAGTCGACCGCCCTCAACAGGGACCCCCAGGAGCCTCTTGAGCCCGGATGGGTAGAAAAAAAGAAAAAAACAACACGTTGGCGCTAATACACGCTCTGAGGATCATCGACGGGTGGAGGCAGAGCCCGCGGAGGCGTCACTCATCGACTGCGCTCGGCGGTTTTCGCGCGGCGCGGCGCGGCGCCTGGAGCAGCGCCTCCCCGCCGAGGGGGGGCCCGCGGGCCTCCGAGCAGCGGCTGGGCAAGCTTGCGGGCAGCCCCGGCAAGCTCCGCGACATCGCGAAGAGAAAGGCTCGGGGGGGCTCGGGGGGGACAGGGCGGGGCCAGAGTTCGGAGGGCACCAACTATACACCTACACCGATCCAGCCCAGTCCGATCCTAGGCCCAGGATCGGTGTATATGCATCCTGCCCATGGCAGGAGGGCGTATACACCGATCCTGGGCCCAGGTTGATCCTGGCCGGGATCGGTGTT